AGCCGCTGCCTAGGGCGCCACTGCCTGGGGCACCCAATGATGACATCACGGGGGCGCCCGGGGTACCCACCGATGACATCAGTCCATTTACGGCCCTGAAGGCAGGGGCATCAATCACGCAGCCGGCCTCGAGCCACTCCTGACTGGCGTAAACGGTCGCTCTTGCGCAAAAACATGTCGTCTGTCTACACTGGCTGTGCGTTCTTGTGCAAGTAAACTGACGTTGTATTGTAGAAAATCAGGGCTTCTTGTGCAAGAACTCTGATGCTCCCTTTCAGGAATAAGCCCTCTTGTGCAAGAGCTCTTCCAGAAGAGGCCAGTGTAGACAGGCAACATGAATTTATTGCGCAAGAAACCCCTATGGTTAAAATGGCCATCAGAGTGTCTACACTGCCATGGATGCTCTTGTGCAAAAGCTCAAGCCAGTGTAGACGCGCTCTTGTAGAAGAGTTTTTGCACATGAACTCTTCCACAAAGAGTTCTTGTGGAAGAGGTTGCCAGTGTGGATGTAGCCAAAAAATATTTTGTGAGACCAGAACAGAGTATTTTACTAATGGAAGGGGGTGGAGGAAGTATCAGCGGCACGGGGAGGCGATGTCTTCCCTGGGTCTTAGTGATCAATCTGTCCCCTCCTCCTAGCCCTATTCTGATCATTCCTGAAGGCTCCCACAGCAGGCTGTTGCTGCTTGCAGACTGGTGAGTCGTCCCCCAAAGTGCAAAAGCCTTCCAGCTTGCCAGCCCTATTAGCGTAACATTGCACCTGTGAAAGAGCCATTAACTGGTAATGAAACGGTTTACCAGGCATCAGCTGACCTGGAATTTACTGACAAAACCAGGTGTGCATTAGGATGGCTATAGGACCTTAGTTCAAAATGTGCTTTATATATGTCCTTAGTTTGTTGCTAAAGATTCAAAAGTCACAGCTCCAAAAATTCCTTGCATAGCTGTTTAGGGGCACAAGTTGAGTATTTGGCTTAAAAGCTTGGCTCTTCAGACATATGGATTTTTTTTTAAATAAATTCTTCAGAAGCCCATCCTTCTCTAAAATACACAATTTTAATTGCTATACAGCTGGTCCCCGAGTTACGACCATGTGCGTTACGAACAGCGTGGGCGCATGTAACTCAATGGGGTCCGACTTACAAATGAACCGAGTTACGACCAATTGCTTGGTCCGTAACCGGTTCGTAAATTGGGAAGAGACTGTAGTATAAAAACTTGCTTCCAAAATCTTCCTGTATTTTCTGTTTATCCCTCCTACCCTGCCTTACCCATCCTTCCATTGGTGAAGAGAGGCCTTAAAGGGACATTCCTTTTCTTACAGATAGTTGGAGAAATGAGTCATTTGCTACATTTGGGTTCAGGGATTTGGCTGGGATGAGTGAGAAGAGGGAGACAGTGGAGACGGGAATGGGTCTAGGTGGAGAATAGGGTTGCCAGGTGTCTGGTATTCACCCGGTCAGTCCAGTATTTTTGCCTCCTGTCCGGTAAAAAAATTCAGAAAATACTGGACACCTAAAATGTCTGGTATTTTCTGATTTTTTTTTCCCAGACAGGAGGCAAAAATCCCAGGTGCTTATCTGGTTCCACAGGGGAGTTGTCTGGCCTGGAGCAGGAAGACAAGATGGCGGACAGCCGTTGGCAGCAACACCTTTGGCCTCCCCCCCCCTTTTTTTTCCCCTGGACAGTTTTTTTTCCCGGGGGGTTTTTTTTTTTGGGGGGGGGGGGAAGAGGGGGAAGACTGTTCAGTATTTTTGGTTAAACCATCTGGCAACCCTAGCTGGCAAAGGAAACTCTGAGGGAGCCCTCACATGGGAATGCCTCCTAGTCCAGCTCTTAGGCCAGTCACTTGAGAGGTAAGAGACAAAAATTCAAATCCCTTCATAAAGGTGGAGTTGAACCCCAAGCTAACACATGCTGAGCACACATCCAAACTGCTAGACTCCATGAGGCTGCTTCCTAGCCTTGTGAACTGCCCGTTTGATATTAATCAGTTGCAGCAGAACAGGATGAGGCAGCAAACACCAGGTCCACCCCAGGGAGATCTCGTCTTAGTCCACCAGCTGGACATTCACTTCAGAGTCAGCTGCTCAAGTCTCTTCTCAGGAAGCTGAGGAAGGAGGTGAAACTGCATCACCCACACAGCTGGATAAGCCTCCAGACCACAGGACTGCAAAGAGCTTCAGCATCTAGGCTTTGCCTAATTGCTACTTAATAACAATGGCAAAGGCTCAAGACACTACAAGGTGCAACCCACTTTAGCCTGTCCCTTACACCCCTGACTGGGACTCTCACATGAGAGCGTGCAAAGCCTTGTTCAAATCTCTTCTCCTCAGGCAGGGAGAAGGAAATTGAACCAGCCTCTATCCCTCCCACATACCAACCTCTGCTTGCGATCCTTGGCCAGGATACACTTAGGAATGCCCTACCAAACAACTGAGGTGAGTGTGGGAAGGAGGCTGAGGCCTGCCACGTAACCTTTAGCCTAGTGGCGAGGGAGCCTCACCTGTGACTGGGTAGAAGGGGAGGGGCCTGGGTCCCATTTCAGACTGGCAAAGCCATTACAAAGGAGGGATATGCCAGAGCTCTGTAAACATGAATGAGGACAAGTTCTTCATCCTTCACTCATCAGGGTGACCTGGGGCCCTGAATAGGCAGCAGGTTTAAACCAAACCAAAGGTGGTATGTCTTCCAGCAAGGCACAGTCAGCATGGGGCCCGCCTTGCTAGGCAACATTGTGAAAGCCAACCTGTAAGTGGGTTCAACAAAAAAAGTGAGCAACTGCATGGAGAATGGCTCCCACAAGGGCTCTCAGCCAAGATGGTCAGGGACACAGTCCCATGCGCCCGGCATCCCTAAACCTCAGCCTGCTAACTGCTGGGAGTGGCCTATAGAAGACAGATCATTTGAGACTTGCCCTCTTCTGCCCATTGCCATTGCAGCTGGCATTGGCACTGTCAGAAGATGGGTGACTGGGACAGCAGGATCATTGGTCTGAGTTGAAGAAGGCTCACCTGCCTCCCAGGTGAATGCCCTAATCATTGGGTCACGGGCTACAGTGTTATGAGCACAGTGTTACCCACTGAAGCTGTTCCACTTTAATTAACTAGTACAGGGATGAGGTGGTGCATGAGGCTCCCTCTGGAGGCTGGGGTGGGCCTTCTCTGATGTGCGGCAGCCCAAATACATACCTGGGTTATACAGCAGGCTATGGCAATGGAGGCCGGGGACCCCTTGAGCTTGCATGTTGAAGCGGATACCCTTTAGTTAAATATTTTTGGGCAGCAGCATCTCTGCACATTGCAGTCCAGTGGTTAGACTGCCAACCCTGCTGAGTGGTGCTGTGGGCTTGAATCTTCCCTCTGCCTTATGAAGGGCTTTGGAGGGGTTGCAAACACAGCTGTGCTACATGTGTCCTGGGCGACATAGGGCTTGCTTCTCTCTTGCTTGTGGAAGCTATTTCATTAAATGTTGGTTAGGCCAGGAACTGCTTCTGACTTCCTCTGTAGCCTGGAGGTTTGGCTGAGTTGTTTTAAGGCTTTCCATGAGAGCCAAATAAAATCCCTGTTTCAAACTTTCATCTATTTTGGTTTGATATTGTGGATTCATTGTAATATGAAACGTAATGTGACAAGCGTGTGTGTGTGTGTGTGTGGAGGTGGTGGTGGTACATGCTTACTCCTTCCCATACTAAACAGGTATTGGCTGTAGTTCTGGCCTGTTTTGAAGGCTCTTACACAAGGAGATAATAGATTACAAAAACTCCTATAAAGCTCCTCTAGGTATGTGTATACAACACAATACCTATTTTATAAACTGAAAATCCTCTCCTTAAATAGATGCTGTGATGCTGGCAGACTAGTTGCCAGCTCATGCCAAGCTCTCCGTGTATCAGCAGGACACTGACAGAGACATACTTGGCTCATTTATGGGCTAATACAACATTGATAGACTGGCATGGGTGGCAAGGAAGCTGAGCATTCCCAAAGAGCCTATTATGGCCCTTCTCCCAGGCTAGTGCACTTCCCACAGGGAGTTGGGGTTGGACGTGTTGCCTACTCAGTGTTCTGGGACCCGGAGCCCTGGGCCTGTTGGCACAATGGCCACAGTACCCAGGAGCTGTGGGTGCTGAAGCTGCGGTGTATCAGGGCTGGGGCCTGGCCTCCCTCCTCCAAGCTGAGCAATGCTGGGGTTGTGGGCCATGATGGGCCTGCTTTGGGCTCCTGTGGGGGCGAGAAGAGGGGGTACATGAGGAGAGGGGCTGGGAGCTAGCCTCTCTGGGTGGCTGAGGCAGATTTTGGTGCTCATGTCTTTCCTGAACTGGAGGACAGTTAGCACTGGGAGCTCAACTTTTAAAAATTTCCCTTCCCTCCGAGACAACCACATACTACAGTTACTTGTTAAGTCACCCCCATCATGCCTAGTAGAAATCTCATAGCACTCAGATGCCTCAGCATGAAACATGCTGGGATATCAGTGAAGGAGGAAATTAGCAAAAACTTTTCAGACCAGGTTTTTCCTTTTGCTCAGAACAGTTTAAAAATTCACCACAGACGTTTAATATGCTTTTCTTTATTGAATAATTAATTGCTCCAGTAGCTCAGTTAGTAATGGATTAAAATGCTACATTTTAAGGCTTGCAGTACAGAAATATAATGCATCCTGTTAGCAGAGAAGTGAAGTCATAACTCCTTGAACATAAATCATTATCAGCTGAATGTCTCAAGCTGCCTCATGGTTGTAGTCACTAATAAAATTTACTCCTCCAAAGACATGTTTATATCAAATAAATTCCACTTCCCAAAGAACCTCCAAAGCAGAGAATTAACATATGTCAGTGCTGACAATGAGTTCTGCATGTCAAAACTTACATTTTCATCTTACATTCTTACATTGTTTCAGTTTAGCATGTTGGTGAAAAATAATGATTAGACCCGAAGAATACTACAGGATCTAATATGAATATACTGCTGCTCTATTTTATTTTCTATTATATCTGATTCAAGACAAGCCTGCATATCAGAGCATAGATTACACTGAGTTTAGAGGTGCCTGAAACTAAAGACACCTCACCTGGGGAAGTTATTTTCCATTCTTCTTCCCGAGTTCCTCTTTTTCCACTTTTCCCACAAATTGCTGAATATCTGTGGCAAGAAGTTCCGGTTCTTCAAAGGCTGCAAAGTGGCCACCCCGTGGCATGAAATGGAAGGAGATGATGTTGATGTACTTTTTCTGTGCCCAAGACTGAGGAGTGTGCAGAATTTCATTAGGGAATGAAGCAATACCTGTAGGCACTCGCACAGGGAGCCTGCAAGGAGACAGAGAGAAAAAAAAAAAACCTCTGTCCTTCTACTTCACCTTTCAGTAGCAAGTCAAAGTGCTTTACAAACAGGGTAGCAAGACTCAGAACCCTATTGAATAGGAATTATATACCCCTTCTACGGATGAAGAAACTATGGCAGAAGTTAAGTGACATTAGGGTAGTGGTAGAACTGAGAATAGAATCCTATTGACTCTCAGTCTCTGGATCTAATCACTATTGATCATCACCTCCAATTCCTGAAAAGACTTTGAAAGAATGTAGCTACAAAGCTTATATAAATACAGGACCTAACTTGTATAGTTTGTGAAGTACCCTCAGAAAGGGCACAGATACTCAACATCATTAAGAACAAAGGGGAAGGAATGCAAGCCAAAATAGGAAATAAGTTAAAGACTATTTAGAGACAATTGATTTATTCACATCAGCAGGCCCTGATGAAATAGTTTGCAGGATATGTTAGAAACTAGCAAAAGCAATCTCTGAATTGTTAGCAATGATCTTTCTACAAGAACTCCTGGATGAAGGTGAGGTCTCAGAGGACTGCAGAAGGGCAAATACAGAACCTGTCTTAAAAGGGAGGAACAAAGAGCATCCAAGGAATTGCAGACCAGTCTGTCCTACTTCAATACCTGGAAAGATATTGGTATAAATTATTACATAATCAAGTGATAGACATCAGAGGCTTTTAGTGTAATAAGGAATAACCAGTATAGATTTCTCAAGAACAAAACATGCCAAATCAACCTAATTTCCTGTTCTGGAAGTATTACTGATCAAGTTGAGTGGGGAAACTATAGATGTGATGTATCTTAGTTTAATAAGGCTTTCAATGCAGTCCCACATGACATTCTCATAAGCCTAGTAGGGAAACATATTCTAGACAATATTATTATAATCTGGGCGCATACCTGGGTGAAAGCGCATACTTACCGTATTTTCCGGCGTATAAGGCGACTGGGCGTATAAGACGACCCCCTAATTTTTTAGTTAAAAGATAGGATTTCGTCTTATACCCCAGCGCCCCTCCGCCTCCAGCAGACCAGGGACACTGGGAGCAAAGCCTCTGAGGACGCCCCGGCAGCGGGACAGCCCCAGCGCACCTGGGCTGCCCCGCCGCCGGAGCCTCTCCGCGGCTTTGCAAAGTCTCGTGGGAAGTCGGCGGCGGGGCATCCCAGGCGCGCCTGAGCTGCCCCGCCGCCGGAGCCTCTCCGCGGCTTTGCAAAGTCTCGTGGGAAGTCGGCGGCGGGGCATCCCAGGCGCGCCTGAGCTGCCCCGCCGCCGGAGCCTCTCCGCGGCTTTGCAAAGTCTCGTGGGAAGTCGGCGGCGGGGCATCCCAGGCGCGCCTGAGCTGCCCCGCCGCCGGAGCCTCTCCGCGGCTTTGCAAAGCCGCATACCCGGCGTATAAGACGACCCCCGATTTTGGGGGGATGTTTAACATCAAAAGTAGTCTTATACGCCGGAAAATACGGTAAATGAGTAGTTATCAATGGCTCACTGGCAAATTGGGGAGGGCATATCAGGTGGAGTCTTGCAAGGGCTTATCCTGGTCTGATTCCATTCAATGTAAGTAGGATAAGGAGAGGAGAGTATATGCTTATAAAATCTGTGGATGACACGAGGCTGGAAGGGGAGCTGGTGGACAGGATTGGAATTGAGAATAACCCTGACAACCTGGAGAAATGTTTGAAATCAATAAAATGAAATTCAATAAAGACAAACACAAAGTATTACACTTAGGAAAGAAACATCGATGCACAACTACAAAATGAGGACTAACTGGGTAAGTGGTAACAGTCCTGGAAAGAATCAAGGATTATAGTAAATATATGACTCAGTGCAATTCAGGCACAAAAAAGGCTAATATTCTGGAGTGTATTAACAGTAGTGCTGTAGCTAAGAGCTGGAAGGTAACTGTATTGTGTCCTAATTTGGGTGCCACACTTTAGAACAGATGTCGATAAATGGGACAAAATCTGATGAAACATACAAACAAGGATAAAAGATTTATAAAAATCTGACCTATAATAAAAGGTTTAAACATCTGGTCATATTTATTCTTGAGGGAAGGCTAAAGGAGGACCACATTAAAATCTTCATATATGTTAATGGCTGTTAAATAAGAGGAAGGTAATTACATTTTTCCGTCTCCATTTGAAGGCAAGACAAGATGTAACGGGCAATTTTGGTTAAATATTGGGAAACACTTTCTAGCTATAAGACTAGTTAAGCTCTAGAAGAGATGGCCAGAGAGAGGTGGCTGTTGGCCAAACACCTAGCTCTGAAGTCAGTGCCCCACCGGCAGCAGCACAGAAGTAAGGTGACAATACTATAGTATGCTACCTTTACTTCTGAGCTGCTTCCTACACAGCTGGAGAGTGGCATTTGCTGACCGAGGGCCCAGCTCTGCAGGCGGCAGTGCAGAAGAAGTACCATACTATACCATCCTTACTTCTGTACCACTGCTGGTAGGCTCCAGCTACCCAACTCTGAAGGCAGCACTAACAACAGCAGCAGCATATAAAAACATGGTGACATTCAACTCCTTTTGGTTCAAGAGCCCAACAATTACAATGCCCTGAAATTTCAGATTTAAACAGTTGAAATCATTATATTTATTATTTTAAAAAACTTATGACCATGAAATTAACCAAAAGGTGAATTTGGTAGGAACCTAATGATGAAGGCGCTTTTTGGGGGGTTATTTATGTGGGAAGGGAGATCAGAAATAAATACAAGGAACTTTTCCATTCTTCAGTTTTCTTGGCAATAAATTAAGAGTCTAAGTATTTGAAGGGTGTAAACAATAGTGATGAAAAGAAATTGTTTAAAATATTCCAAGGAGCTTTAGCTAGGGATGAAAGGATGGAACTGAACACAGGTAAATTTCAGCTGGATATCAGGAAATATTTCATAGCACTGAGGTCACTCAGCTTGTGGAATAGACTCACATGTGTACCATTTAAAACTGGATTGCACAAAATACTTAAGAATATACTGTAGGAAACAATTCTGCAGCGTCAGGTAGAGTGTAAGCAAATGGTTATAAGAATCCAGTTTCTAAAAATTTATTGTATTTGTTATAAACCAACAGTAATTCCCATAAGAGTTTAAGGGCCTGATTTTCAAAGTATTTAAGTATTTGCATGAAAGATGCTAATAGGTGCTGTTTACATCCTTTCAGAAGTTCCTAAGTACACTACGTATCTAATTCACATTTCTTTCAACAGGACTCAGACATTTTTGCAAGCTCCATTACCTATTATCTATTTGCATCTTTAGATGTCCAAATATTGCAAATCTAGCCCTAAGTGATTTAGGTGCTTAAGTCCCATTTTTAAAAGTGACTTAAAGAGGCTGCTTTTCTAAGGCCAGATCCAAACTAAAAAGTTACGTCAACCTAGCTACGTTGCTCAGGAGTGTGAAAATTAGCCCAGAGTGATAATATATTAGATGACCTAACACAATATAGGTAGTGCTAGACCAATAACAATTCTTTCTGTTGACCTATCTACTGCCTGTAGAGGAAGTGAATTAACTACAGCAATGGGAGTCCCTCTCCTATCGCTATGGGTAGTGTCTATATTGAAGTGCTACCACAGCGCAGGTGCAGTGTTTCTACTCAAGATTTAGCCAAAGGTACAAACGAAAGTTAAGCACTTAACCCCCACTGAAAATCAATGGGAATCAGATGCCTAACTTCTACTGAGGTCTTTGAAAATCTAACCCTTGGAAACCCAAAAACCGAAGTACCCTTGACTTTCAAGGAGACAAAGACTTCTACATACTTAAGTCACTTCTGAAAGTGGAACTTAAGCTCTTTTGAAATTTTCACCCCAAATCAAGATAAACTGGATAACAAAATCAGATGATCCTTGGTGCAAGCTATATAGGGAATGCTGACTACAAGATTCAATCAAGTTGGCAAATACACCTTAATTCATTAGTTAAGCTAGGGTTTCCAGTTATTTGCACACTCATTCTTTCTGTCTTTTGACTAAGGTGAAAACATGATAATTCTCACCAGACGTTTAACAATGGAGTAGCTGCACTGACGTCTCTTATTTCTCAGACTTCAGTTTTTTTACACATCATACTACAACAGAAGTAAATAAATAAACTCGTCCAATCAATGAACAAAATACACACAGTGCTGCAACTTCTACCCCACAATACTGTGTCACTGGCCTGCATGTGAGTGCAAATTAAAGGAGGAGCACACAAAGAAAACCTCTTACTTCTCATGTTTCTGTGTACCAATCCCCTTTCCGATATTTTCCTTGTAGAAACGCATTGAGGAAACTATGCAGCCGGACACCCAATAGAGCATGACATTAGTGAGAAGGTCATCCAGAGAATGCTTCCTGAAAAGGTCAGCCCAGAAATGGTATCATGTGAGTTGAATGCAGTTTCTTACAGCAGAATAATAATTTCAAATCTTTCCACACACTATTTACATTGGTTAACTTATAAAAATTAAAGCAAAAGTGGCTAACAAAAAATAGCACTGGCACACTAATTTAAAAAGGACCTGACTAGACACAACTCCTCACCCCAAC